TCTCTCTCTCTCTCTCTCTCTCTCTCTCTCTCTCTCTCTTTCTCTCTTTCTCTCTTTCACACATGTAAATTACAACACAGAATAAAATACTGTTGTAAATTAAAAATAATATATTACTCTTGTAAATTTAAAAATGATATACTGTTGTGTGTGTGTGTAAATTGCTGTGTTGTTTGTTGCAATATTAATCGAATATTTTGCAACACTTTGTAACATTTAAGCCACAAAACTGTCTGTACAAACAGTGATGCAATTGAAAAAAACTTTTAATTCAACTTATTGTTTTCTGTTGGGTAAGTGCAAATTATATAGTAGCATCGATTCAACAATTTACTTACAAATCAGTCCTAGAATATTACCACGTTATTTCCAAATCAAATTTAACAAGCATCCAAGACATCTCTCTTTGCTTTAAATAGTAACAAACTCAGTAATTAATTCAGTAATAGATTTAAAGAAACAAATGGATTATGAATTCACACAACAAGTAAATAAACTTTGCAATACTCGTAATAATAACATGTAAGGTTTCTATGATACATGTTGGGACAGTATAACACACACGCAAATGTCTCTAATTATTATGTCACTCTAGAATCTCTTGACGTAATTAAAAGGAAGAAACGCGATTTCGTGTCTCGATATGATAATAGCGTTGCATAGAAACAGGAACTGTGTTGCGATTATACCGAACGGATGATTAGAGACGCGCGGCGCAAGAAATCTGCGGTTTTATTATTAGCCATAATTACAGTTATGCGATCGCATTAAAGCTCCCCAAATAACTATTGCATCTTCCATCTCCATTCTGTTGCGATCAAATTGGTCGCTATAAAACGGGCCTGTTGTGATGAGGGACCTCAGTTTTGTGAGAGTTCGTAGAATTTCACCGAATTTCTAATGATTCGGAAGGTTGGTACTAAAAAACAATGTAGGGGAAATCGGGGCTAGTTGTCACACGGGGTTAGTTGTCAAACTGCTATTATTTTGCTTACTAAATTTTGGAAAATATTCTTCTTTATATTGTAATTTGCTACTATTGTGTTAGCAACGTGTACAAAATAGCATTCTTAAAAATATGATATATGATATTTATGATATTCTTATCTTGATTTTCTTTAGTAATTTCACTGATTTTTAAATTTCTAATTGCAACTGTATCTTAGGTACAAAAACTGTGGTACTTTTAAATAAATTTTCCTATATTTATTTAATCGTCATTGCATTGCAGTTTATAAAGATAATATCTTTTATTTAAAATGAACGTTTAGGGTAAGTTGACTCAAACAAGACGGGGTAAGTTGTCACACGATAAGTGAAGTTAAGCGCGAGAAAATAATCGCCGTGCTCAGTAAAATAAAAATAATTTTAACAAAAACGTTGTCAATGCGACAAGCTGCATTCTTATTTGAAGTAAACTATCGTACATTAGTATTGTAAGAAAATTTCAGAAAAGAATATAAATATGAAAATACGATTTGTACAAGTGTGAGGTATACTAAACCAAAAAAGATTTTTAGTGATCTACAAGAAGAACTAATTAGCTATATATTACGTGTTTCAGATATTTACTTTTGTCTTACACTCAAGGAAATCAGAATTTTGTCTTATGTAACAATTAATCCCGGGTACGGGGCACGTTGACAAATTTGCGATCGTGTTTAACATTAAATAACTTTGTTTGTATAAAAATATATAAAAATAATATATTTTTTTCTTAAAGCTAAAGAATATGACTATGATATAATGTACCTAATATTACATAATATGGTGTACAGTTTATTATTTTTAATAATATAATTTGCATGTTACAATGTGCCCCGATCTCCCCTACCACATTTTTTAACCTTACTAAATAATTTTTGTTTACAGATTTTATACAAGTTAACTAAAAAATTATCTTTTGGATATTTAATTCTATATTATAAATAAATTTGTCTCTCATCACTCAACTTTTCTTGCATATTTTGTTGTCCTTTTCAACAGGCGCTATTATTAGCGATGGTTTTGGTAGGAGTTCGGAACGAACCACAAGGTCCAGCTTATCTTCCGCCTAGTTCTCGACCAGGAGGAGGTGGAACTGGTCATCCGGATGAATGGGCTGGTGTAAGTATGTATTACATACATCACACATCAGAAAAGGCTATTCTTCTCAGAATAAATAATTTACAAATCAGATATACTTGTACTATCCGAAAAAAGATTTTTTTGTATGACTTTTTATGTAACATTTCTTTCTTATGATGGTTTTGTGTGTGTGTGTGTGTGTGTTATTGTTGCAATTATACAAGGTGTCTGACAACAAAATATCAAGCCGATGTGTGTAGGTAGATTGGGTTAATCTGAGCAAAAAAGTTATTTACCAGTTTGCAAAATTCGCAATAGTTATTGAGATATAAATTAATAAATGTGAGCCAATGAGCGCACGGACGGCAATAATCGGACTTTATAGGCGTGCACAATTATCAACTGGAAAAAAAATAGCTTCTCTCATGCAATGTCTTAGCAACGAGAGATGGAGTAAACAAACAAGCGCAACGCGACTCAACTTCTTGCGATTGGACGCTATTCGGCGGTACGCAGCGACCAGCGGCGAGCGAGGAGTAGAGCTGATAATTGTGCACGCCTATAAAGTCCGATTATTGCCCCCCGCGCGCTCATTGGCTGACATTTATTAATTTATATCTCAATAACTATTGCGAATTTTGCAAATTGGTAAATAACTTTTCTGCTCAGATTGACCTAATCTACCTACACGCGTCGACTTGATAGTTTGTTGTCAGACACTCTGTATACATATACAGGGTGTTCTACCTAACTTGAATATTCTAAATATCTTGCTTATTTTTTATGATAGAAGATGTCGAAAAGGGTCATTATTCAGTTCGAGGAGATAAATACTGTAATAAACAAGAACTTTTTGGATTTGTCTTGACCTCGCCTATCATATCGCGAGGATAAAAATATGTACTTTCAGATTTAAAAAATGACAATGATTTTGCAATTCTAAAAAATATGACCTTGAGAAAAATTTCTTGTTTATTACAGTATTTGTCTCTTCAAACTGAATAATGATCCTTTTCGGCAACCTCTTATCATAAAAAATAAGCAAGATTATTTAGAATGCTTAAGTTAGATGGGACAATCTATATATAATTAATATGTATACAATTGTTATATATATAAATGTTCTTATTAAAACTGATATCTTTGTCAGGATCCGGCAAACTACGAATTCTCATATGAAGTTCAGGATGCGGGAGCGAGTCTGGATTTTGGCCATCGTGAAATGAGAAAAGATATGGAAGCTACTGGTACTTATCACGTGCTGTTGCCGGATGGTAGAACTCAGATCGTCGACTATGTTGCTGACCAGAATGGCTATCGACCGATGGTGCGGTATGAAGGAACTGCTACTTATCCCGCACCGGGCGGACCAGGTCACGACGAAGGCTACAGATATTAAGATCGTTACATTTTTTGTGGTAGAAAATCAATGTTTAATAATGGTATAGAAATAACAAACGTATCACGATCGAGTTATGCAATTTACCAAATACTGATAATAACAGATGATCCTTGAATAGAGCAACAATGGTATAATATAATGATACTTTCATCGTGACAATTACAATTTTATTTGTACTACGTGTAATAAATAATTAAAAAATAATAATAAAACTTGTTTTCTTTATAAGTTCCTTTAGTAGTTTAATACGTCGGTTTTATAACCAAACGTATTTGACTCTTTTTAAATAGATTATTTGGAATCATTTGTAAATTTCACGCGACATTACTGTTTTTATTTTCATAGTACAGTTCATATATGGTATGAATATATTTTCAAAAAAGATGAAAAAAGTTACTGATAAAGTACTTTTGCACTATTTTTGTATGGTTTTTAACAATTAAATTCTTCAAATTCAATTTCTTATTTTTCTATTAACTGAATTTTAAGTATACATGAATAATCTAAATTCAAGGTGTTTTCATACTCTTGAAAATGTTGGGGAAAAAGTTTCTTTGTATTTTATTGCAAAAATAAAACACGTTTTATTCATATTTTAAATGAAGCTTATAAAATCAAATATGTGCCGTTTTGTTCGACCACCTTTTGCCATCTTTGAGATAAAACTATAATCCCGTCACTGTAGACGTCCCGTCCCGTACTTGTGTGATTTCTGGGCGAAAAACTGCGACAAGTGATTTTCACAGGCCTTTCTTGAAGCCAACTTTATATTATTAAGAGAGTTCTGTAGAGATCGAAACAAATGGTAAATCTGATAGTGCAAGGTCAAGACTATAAGGTGAATGCATCAAAACTTCCCAGCCAAGTTCTCTTAATTTTTGACGGGTTGCTATAGATACATGAGATCTCGCGTTGTCGTGATGGAAGACGACGCCTTTCTTATTGATCAACTCTAGTCACGTTCTCTCGATTGTCTGGCGTAATCTTTCCAGTTGTTGACAGTAAAGGGTAGAATCAATTGTTCGACCGGGCGGCAGCAACTCGTAATGAACGATTCCTTTGCAATCCCGCTATACACTCAGCATCACTTTTCTTAGTGTCAATTTTGACTTTGCCAAAGTTTGCGGAGCTTTATTTTGCTTTAACCACGATCTTTTTCGTACATTATTGTCGTACATAATCCATCTTTCATCGCCCGTTATGAGCTGTTTCAAAAATGGTTCGATGTCGTTCTGTTTTAACAATGATTCGCAAATGGAAATTCGATCTATTAAATTTTTCAGTGTTAAATCATGTAGCATCCAAACATCAAGTTTTTTTTGTATCCAGCTTTCTGCAAATGATTTAAAACTGTTTTGTGGTCAATGTTCAGTTGCTTACCGATATCATGACTGCTAATGTGCCGATCTTGCTCAATTATTTCCATAAATTCATCGACTTTTCCAGTGATCGGTCGACCAGAGCAAGGTGCATCTTTGAAATCAAACTTTCCAGATTGAAAACGCTTGAACCAGTTTTGTGCCATACGTATTGATACTGCATCATGTCCATAAACATTACAAATTTTTTTAGCAGCCTGAGTCGCATCCTTTCCTTTTTTGTAATAAAATTTTAAAATGTATCGAATTTCTTCTTTGTCTTCACTCATTTTCGAGACGCAACAACTTTTGACTGGATAGATAAATATCACCACTTTTTTTGTTAATTTCTTTATGATATATCACCTTTCAAACGCACACAAATATTGGCAGATACTATTAATATTATCAAGGTTATGCAATTCTAAATCCATCTACCAAAGAATACGAAGAAACTTTTTCCCCAACTTAATATTATTACTAGTAGTACTTTATAACACTTTTTCTTTACAAAAATTATGCAACAAAAGAACTGATATCTATTAAAAAGTAACACCAATTGAAGGCGGTCATGTATGGGAACGATAAATACACATTACAATGTTATAAACATACATTACATTGTTATAAATTATAAACTTAAAGCACAAAAGTAATTGTAAATGTTTTGTGTACTCTAGTATATTATAAAAATATTTTTTATAAAATAGAAAAAAATCTAAACTATATTTAAAATAAAAAATAAACACACAAGACTTTCTTGCATAAATTACGGGACTTATATCTTACTGTATTATTGAAAACCTAATACATTAAACATTGCAAATGATAAATAGTACACAAAATGAAATTTAAAAGAAGAAAGGACCTCGCACGAAATGACTGGATTTTGGACCACTGTGAAATTGACTGAAACTGAAATATGTTTTAGCCCTTGACCTCCTGAACAAAAGTCACCATAGACGCAAAACCTAAACATGGCCAATTTTTGAGATACGGTGGGCCAAAGGTCGCTAAATCAAGAGGTACCCAGATAACACAGGATGTCTTATGGACGTTCGTTCTATGTTCATTTTATGGTCGCACGTCCGCGGACATGAATTAGACGTCCATCGTATGTCTGATTTCGGATGTCCTTTAATAACCAATATTTGGACGTTCATAGGATATTTGCTCTTCAGCTTATCTGCAGTAATTTTATTTTCATATTTCTACAAATTTATAAAAATTATGAAGTGACTCTCACACATCTATAAAAAGTGTTATACAGGGTGTCCCAAAATTGGTGTAACATCTCTCGTGAACAAATAGAAGGAGTAAACCTGAGTCAAAAAGTTTTATACCATTTTGCTAGATTCGCAGTAGTTACCGAGATCTTAATTAACTAAGATCAGCGAATAAGCATGCATCGAGCTGTCTTACTCGCTTAAGACAGCCCAGTGCGCTTCGCGCGCTTACGGTGTTACCCGTAGGAGCATATGGGAGAAGCTAATATAACAGCATATACTATAACATATACATATTAAAATGTAATTGTGCAAAGCGCGCCGGGCTGTCCTACGCGCGTAAGACAGCCCGATGCACGCTTATTCGCGGATCTTTGTTAATTAAGATTTTGGTAACTATTGCGAATCTAGCAAAATAGTATAGGACTTATCGACTCAGTTTTATTTCTTCTACCTATCTACGAGAGATGTTACACCAATTCTGGGACACCCTGTATATTAAAAAAAGTAATTGTATTTACATGTTAACTAATTATGACTGACAGATACCAAAGAAATTCTTTATGTATCTATCACGTGTACGATCTTGAAATAAGAATGAACGAGTTCGGAAAGCGTGCTCTTAGCGCTATTCCATCATTCTACTTTTGTTTTTGTCAAATGAACTATAAAGATAAAATGATGAGATACTTATATAGCACGTAATATTACGAAAATATCCCAGTAATATTGCAATATATTAGTAATATTGGATATTATGATACAATATTACAATAATAGTATTGATAAACTACATTTATATATAATACTAAAATATTACGGTAATATTATATTTCATCCCAAGTAGCAAGATTATAGCAAACATTTTGGTTATAAAACCATATCCATCTGTGTCCTCAGTAGGATATGGTTTGTTAACCATGTCTGTCAACATGTGAAATGTCAAAATGCGACCAAAATGATGACAGAGTTTGCCACAAGCAAAGCGAAGCCAAATTATCGCCAAAGTGCAGCCAAAATCCGGAATAGGTTTGGTCATTGTCTGTTGGCGCCAAATTGCAAACAGTCCGCACGTATACACGAACAGACCTGCTTGGCGTTTGGTGGCAATCTGTCGTCAATGCGTTCAACAGATCGACCCGACTTTTGTCGTAAACAGATTTCTGGTACAATTTTGCGGACTGTTTGATCACAGTATTGCTAAAAGCAGATCTGCTTGCAATCAACCATCTATTTGTTGTTAATTTCACTGACATATATGGAATCGTATTGGCTGCAATACTCTCATGTATTTATCAACAGAGTTGTTGCGTTTTTTCTTTCTGTGTGCTAACAATTTTGGCAGTGTTTCCGTATCGTAGCATTTCTGCAAACAGTTTCTGTTACTAAGGTCAGCGCCGAAATTGTCAAAAACAGAAATTGCTTGCTAGGTATATAAATATAATAAAGTTGTGTTGAGGGATGACCTCCGGTTCGAAATGGTTATTCCAAAATTGTGATGATTGTAACGGCTATTGCGAACCAATGCAGGATGTATTGCGAAAATATTAGTAATAATGTAGACAAAACGTTTCGACTTTATTGTTGCAGTCTTCATCAGTTGTACACTAGTTAAAATTACAAATAAAAAAATAAAAAAATGTCGCAGTACAAATTCGTGTGAGGATAGATTTTTACAATGTATAAATTAAGCATACATACGAAAAACAATGTATAATTGATCACATAAAACTGTAATGTAACGTGTAGTCACTTAAACGGTCAACTATTTAAAAACGTCTAGATGGTAT